GACGGAAGGCACTGAGGTCTTGGATTCTCCTTATCTCTGGGGGGAGCTGATTCCAGAGGGTAGGTGCCCCCACAGAGAAGGCTCTCCCCCTGGGGGTCACCAGCCTACATTGTCTGGCTGATGGCACCCCGAGGAGGCCCTCTCTGTGGGAGCGCACGGGTCGATGGGAGGTCGTTGGTAGCAGCAGGCGGTCTCGAAGATAGCTAGGCCCTATGCCATGGAGCGCTTTAAAGGTGATAACCAACACCTTGAAGCGCACCCGGAAGACAACTGGGAGCCAGTGCAGCTCGCGCAGGAGCGGTGTTACATGGGAGCGCCATGCTGCTCCCGTCACTACCCGCGCTGCTGCGTTCTGGACCAGCTGGAGCCTCCGGGTGCTCCTCAAGGGGAGCCCCATGTAGAGAGCGTTGCAATAGTCAAGGCGAGAGGTGACGAGGGCGTGAGTGACTGTGCACAGGGAATCCCGATCAAGAAAGGGCCGCAACTGGCGAATCAGGCAAAAGGTCCCCCTGGTTACAGCCGTCAGATGTTCCTCCAAGGACAGCTGCATATCCAGGAGGACTCCCAGATTGCGAGCCCTCTCTGTGGGGGCCAATGACTCGCCCCCAATAGTCAGTGATGGAGTCAACTGACTATATCGGGATGCCGGGAGCCACAGCCACTCAGTCTTGGAAGGGTTGAGCTTGAGCCTGTTCCTCCCCATCCAGACCCGTACAGCCTCCAGGCACTGGGACATCACTTCAAGGGCATCGTTGGGGTGGCCTGGGGTGGAGATGTACAGCTGGGTGTCATCAGCGTACTGGTGGTATCTCACCCCAAAGCCACGGATGATCTCACCCAGCGGCTTCACATAAATGTTGAACAGGAGAGGCGAGAGGACCGATCCCTGCGGCACTCCACAAATGAGAGGCCTCGAGGTCGACCTCTGCCCCCCTGCCAACACAAACTGCGATATAAATCGCAATAAATAAATAAATAAATAAATAAATAAATAAATAAATGGCAATGAAAAAATATAATCATCTATTTCTAGACATATTCCTCCATTTTTGTGTTATGTGCCTTAAAAAGCCAAAAAGAAATATATATTTTCTTACAGTCCCCATTAATTAGTTATTAAAAGAGACAATTAAGAAAGTCTATGTGTGCATGCATGAGTTTTAATGTGTCTTGTTATTCTAACTTTGAATTTGTCTTTTCTAGTCATCTATTATACATTTTTCACCATAAAAGTGAATATGTTTTGGCTGGCAGCGTGCTGCAGGAGGCTGTTCAAGCCAAAAACGGAGCGCAACGGGAGGCTGCGCGCAGCCCCCCGTGCCCCATTTTGGCTGCCAGAGGCACTGTGGGCCAGTCTTTTGCTATTTCCAGGCTGGCCCCACCAAGCCAGATTTAAGCAACCCTATGGGCCTGGTGTTTGACACCCCTGGACTAGACTGTACAGTATGACTTGATCAAGCTTCCTTACAGATAATTTTCTTTTCTGTTTTGCACACACACTCCTGTCACGAATCATTGAAGAAAAGCTTTAGTAATTAATATTTTGGTCAAATTTAACTAAAATTTAACATTCTTGAACATTTTTTCATTTTTATGCAGCAGCAGATATTTATTTAATTTTCCCCACTTTATTTTTATTTCATGAAATACATGGAATGAAATTAACCCTAACCCCCGCAACCCATTTTGGACCTAGCAGGCCTCCCTGAAGCCTCCAGAGGCTGGAAATGGCCCGTTTCCGGACTTCTGGTAGGCCTGTTTTTTGCCCGCCGGAGGCTCAGGAGGCTTTCCTGGACCCTCCAGGAAGGTGAAAATAGCCTCTCCTGGCCCTTTGGAGGCCCTGTTTTCAGACTTCCGGGAGGCCCATTTTTTGCCCTCCCAGAGCCTCTGCATGAGCCCTGTACTTACTTGGGCGTGTGCACACATCTTCCACATGCACGGCAGAGACCCAAAAATCAGCTGGCCGATGGGAGGCGCATGCGCGGTGGAGCTGACCTAGGGCGATGGCTCACGTGCCCACAGAAATGGCTCCGTGTGCCACTTGAGGCACATGTGCCATAGGTTCACCATTATGGCCCTATATCATTCTAGACAAATGGCTGTCCAATCTCTTCTTTAAAACCTCCAGTGATGGAGCACCCACAACTTCTACCTGTAGGAAAGTTTAAGTTCCCAGGTTCAAACTTTGAAAGTCCAGTTTAAATAAAACACCAGGAACAAAAAGATGGGAAATAGCCTAAATCAAATTTCCATGTACATAACTGTACAGTTGTTTCTCTTTTTTGAAATTCTTTCCTTAAAGAATTTTGCTCCTAGAACCTGCTTTGAGGCTTATCATCTCATTTCAAAAAAAAAAATATTTTGAGAACTATGTATTATGTTAATGCTTCCCTGCCCCTTTAGATGTCATTTTACTCTTGTTTACATTGTAATTATTTATGACAGCTTGGTTTCTAAGATAAGTTAATTTAATTAAATTCATGGATATTATGCTTTGTTTCCCTTTTCTAAATAACTCCCCTATCCTACTCCAGTCCGATAATCTCAGGAGCAATTATTCTCCTATCTAGGAGAAACAGGTGTTTACGGGGAGAAGAAGAAGCATGTACAGAGAAACTTCCTGAAAAGGATCCAAGGTGCAATGTTTAGGAGGTAAGGCAAATGTAAGAATAAAAAATGATTAATCATCTCAAAATAAATATACAACCTACTGAGCTTACTCAGACAGATGACATTCTGCTCTTACTAAATCGTGTTAAGAATCCCAGCTGTCTCTTTTAACTGTGAAACAAGTGTTAGCCATCTACAGTTTTTGGCAACCAATTACTGCACCACAGCAAATGTACAGTATTAAGGGTAAAACAAAGAGCAAAATTGTGAAGCATAATGTGCTTTTAGGTATGCTTTCCTTCTTGATACTGAGAGATGTGTGACTGGCCTTGTTTGCACTTATTCTTCTGCCATACAGGTAGTTCTCAACCTACAATCATTCATTTAGTGACCGTTCAAAGTTACAATGGCATTGAAAAAAGTAATGTACAACCATTCCTCACATTTATGATAACACCCTCCCCACAGTCACATGATCAAAATTTGGGTGCTTGGAAATTGGCATGTATTTACAACAGTTGCAGCATCCCAGGTTCTTTTTCTTTTTAAATTTGATTTATATGCCGCCCTTCTCTGGAGACTCAGGGCGGCTTACAAAGTGCTCAGCAATAGCCTTCATCCTTTTGTATATTTTATACAAAGTCAGCTTATTGACTATAAATGATCACCATTTGTGACCTTCCCAGCTGGTTTAGACCAGTGGTGGGTTTCTACCAGTTCGCCCCAGTTCTGGCGAACCGGTAGTGGCAGTGGTGAGGGGCTCCGCCCACCCGCCCGGATGTCATCACGGATGTTCTGTGCATGCGCAGAAGCGCTGCACATGAGCGCTCACAGTTCCGAACCAGTAGCGAAGGCAAGTGGAACCCACTACTGGCTTAGACAAGTAAAATCATTTAATGGGGGAATTCACTTAATGACCACATAATTCATTTAACAACTACAGAGATTTGCTTAATGATTATGAGAAAAAGGTCATAAAATGAGGCATGATTCACTTAACTGCCGTGCTTATCAAAGGAAATTCTGATCCCAATTGTGGTTGTAAGTCGATGACTACCTGTACTTAATCAAATGAATTTGCCTTGGTCTCAATAAGCGTGGATACCTGGCAAACCTCAATGCTAGTTATCATATTTATTCAGTTTTTTCCCAAGTGAAAACACTGACACCGGTTCAAATACACTTGCTATTGTTTTTTCCATGTATTTAATTCCAGCATAGATGTCACCTCATGTTCCTGTTTCTGCGTAAAGCTCCAGGACTGTTAAACCAGAGACCCTTTCCCAAAACAACATGTGCAGGCACTCCCTACTCTCCCATGTCTATCAATAGAAAAGAAGTCCAATCTGAAGCAGTCTCTTAGTTGCTGATCTGCCTGTCTTTAGAGTCCCATTGCATTCTACTTTTAATATTGTGGGGTTCTTGGTGATCTCTGAGTTGTAATCCCACTTCCTACTAGCACTGATATAACCTAGTTTGGTAATGAAATGTCTGCAAGAAAACTACCAAGCCCAGAGAGTGGCAAGGATCCCACAATTCAATCCTTCTAGCTTCTATTGGTATTTTTAATATCCTAAAACAGGCACATAGAATCTCTGGCACTCCAGATGTTGTTGAATTACAATTCCTAGCATTCACAAACTATTTCAGGCTTTTGGGAATTGTAGTTCTGGAATAGATGGAAGAAAAGGACGTCCTCTCCCCTGATTTAATTCAAGCTTTCTGGTTGGGAGGCAAGTTTTCCTTAGACACAATATATGGCAAGATTAAGGAGAAAATATTTTGCCCATCCTCTGCAGCCCTTTCCTACAGACTAACAGGGTTCTTATCCTATAATCTTTTCACCGAAGTATCAACTCATGTCTATGCCAGCCCCGGATATTTTTCTTTTCATTTTCTATTCTCATTAAGTCTCTGAAAGCAGAATGCCTTATAAGTCTAGTCAAGAGTCAGATGAGGCCAGCCAAACTTCGCTCTAGGAAAGTGGGCAGAACAAAAGGAAAAGAATAGATAACTTATGCGTAATGGTTTAAACGCTGAGCAAATTTCATCGCTTAAACTAATTCCCATCAAAGCTACCGCCTCAGTTCTTCGTTAACCCAAACGATGGATTTGGGCGCTGCGCCCGTAAAAGTTGCCATACAAGAAGCCACCGGAGCCCTCGCTACCTTTCTCTGCAATATCGCCCTTTATACTTCTCTTGCTGCCACCCACCACTACCTTTGCTGGTCGAATCCATCAGGGATAGTTGGGAAAGAGGCGAAGGCTCTTTTTTCCCCTCCTTGAACCCCACCTCCTAGCGTGGGCGCTCTGTCTGCATTGCCCAATGCCAGGGCGGGCGTTCGGCGATTCCCAGTAGGGATGGAGATAAACCGGACAGAAATGTTTACCAAGAGGCAGCTTCGTTGGCCGATGAGTCTTCTCCACAGCTTTCCCTAGAGCTGCCGTTTAGGCAAATTTGGAAGCTACTTCCGGGTAATTTCGGCTTTTGCAGCCCCAGCAGGTGCAGGAGGACTTGTTCTCCCGGGGAACCTCAGGGTGTTGCACCCTTCTACTCGCGTTTCTGCCGCCGCCGCTGCAGTCCCTGCTGACTTGCGCTCTCCTCCGCGCGCTCCCAGGAAAGCTGCAGACTGAGCTCCCCGAACTCCGCTTGCACAAGTAGGTCAGAGAGGCACTGAGCATGCTCGCTGTTGAGCCAGGCTGCTGTGGAACTGCTCATGAGTTGTCCTCTGCTTCTTTCTTTTCGTATCCAACGAAGGTCACATCAGTGTTTAGATACGGGAGTGAAGAAGGCGTGGGAGGCTTAGCCCCTGGGGAATTCTTTGCCCTCCGATAGGGCGCAGAGGAGAGAGCATCTAATATGTAGCGCCGCGCTATTACTAGATGGATCATAAGATAAGATATAGGTATTTTAAAATGTACCTATATAGGATCATTCGGCTGTTATGTATTTGCTTTATATTGAGCAGAGGCGAGTTTGCGCCTACCTTTTCCATTTGCTTCAGTGATCATTCTGGTGCTTCCAATATTTTAGCTCTTCACAACTAAGAGTAAATCCGATATGCAGTATTGAGTTTCTGTCCGAAGTTTATCATTTGCCTTAATACTCAAAGTTGGAGAGAAGGGATTAGAGAAAAAACAGTTCAAAACAAATCTACATTGAAATTGAGGACCAGATGAATAGATTCAATTACAGTAGCAGTGGGTGCACCATTAGAAGATCTGAAACACCAGGTCAGGAATAGATGTCAGGGAAAAAATATGTGATCTCTAAGAGTTGACAAGGACTTGTTGGTGCATCATTTTCATCATAGGCTAAGTAATTTAAAGAGGGCTGCCACAGAGAGGAGGGGGTCAAGCTATTATGCAAAGCACCCGAAGGCCAGACAAGGAATAATGGATGGAAACTGATCAAGGAGAGATTCAACCTAGAAATGAGAAATTTCCTGATGGTGAGAACAATCAACCAACGGAACAGCTTGCCTTCAGAAGTTGTGGGAGCTTCATCACTGGAAGCTTTCAAGAAGAGACTGGACTGCCATTTGTCAGAAATGGTGCAGGGTTTCCTGCTTGGGTAGGGTGTGTGAGGGTTGGACTAGAAGACCTACAAGGTCCCTTCCAACTCTGTTAATCTGTAAATTTCACAGCTATAGTCTAGACCTAGAAGTTGGAAAAATGTCAGAAAAACTGAATGACCCACCACTGGCACCTCACATGTACTATGTCCTCTGCAAACAGTTCTATTTTAATGTGTAATGTGTAATGTTTTTAAAGTATTTTTGAGTTTGTTCCAAGCTTTCCAATATGAATTTAACTGTGTTAATTTTAATAATCATTGGTTTTAAAAGCCTTTTAACGTGCATGCCCCCTGTGCCCTGTTTTCAGCCTGGACAGCCTCCTGCAGCACCCTGCTGGCCAAAACGGGTGGGGGGACCCACACACCCCCATGCCCCATTTTTAGCCTAGCAGCCTCTTGAAGGACCCTGCCAGCCAAAACAGGGACGGGATGCCATGTGCACTCCCTGTGCCCCATTTTCAGCCTGGACAGCTTCCTGCAGCACCCTGCTGGCCAAAATGGGTGCAGGGGACCCACATGCATCCCCCCCATCCCGTTTTTGGCCTGGACGGCCTCCTGCAGCACCCTGGTGGCCAAAATCAGACGCAGGGGCCCCATGTGCAGCCTCCCATGCCCTGTTTATGGCCTGGATGGCCTCCAACATCCTGCTAGCCAAAACCAGGCACAGGGCCCCGTGCACAGCCCCACCATTTTTGACCTGGACAGCATCCTCCAACACCCTGCTGGCCAAAATGGGGCATGGGGGTGTGCATGCCCCATTTTGGGTGGCAGAGGCACCACAGGCTGGTCCTTTGCTATTTCCAGGCCAGCCCCACAGGCCAGATTTAAGCACCCTTGATTTTGACTAGTTATATCCTATAGATCCCTGCTATAGGATATAACTAGTTGCATAATCAATGGAAATTCTATTCTATTCTATTCTAATCTCAATTCTCTTTGGAGCTATTTCTTCCTGAGTGCCATCTTCCTAAAAGCTTCGTTATTTTATACTAATTTGGGGAGGCAAAAATGGGATGCAAAGGGGAGACTGACAAGCCAGTGAAATTGAGGTAGACTCCTGGAGTCAAATCCTCCCCATTCCTGCTGGGATATCCTAAATAAGGGGTGTTTTTCCTGCTGGCTGGTGATGCATTGAATTGGGACTATAGAAAAGCCAAAAGAGAAAACCAACACACAGTCAACACCAAGGGGGAAATTCACCAAGGGGGAAAGGACCAGATCATTTGGCAATGACTTGGAAGAAACCCAAGAGAGGCATGATACCATTTGGCAATACAGTCAGTGACAATTAAGTAAGGTTTTCAAGAGAGGTGGATATTAATATAGTACACATACATTCAGGGCATTTTTGGTTTGACAAAAATATTTTTAAAGAAAATAATATGGTTGGTGTTTGGAGCCAGTCATGTCTTCTCTGTGGAGGAAGTCCTGCTCTATAGGAATAAAAAACAACAGTTGAAGTAGTGCATTGTTCCACTGCACATTTGCCCCTAAATTGGAGTTTGGATCCAGCCATGATTTTTTTGCAGATTTTCTTACTCCGTTTAGCCTTTTTCCTAAATATCTCCACTGGACATAATTATTCTATCATATTTTAAGACTTAAATGCTTACCTGAGGGTTTTAATTATTTGTTTCTTTGTCTTAGGCATCTCAGTGCAGATCAATGGAAGCATAGTAAAGCAACAAATATTGTTTCTATTTTATTCTTCTCTTTCATGTACAATTGAGATGCTTATATATTATTATGAGAAACATTAAGAAACTGGACAAAGTGATTAATTATTTCATTTTTCCCCACTGCATCTTAAAAAAACTATGCAAATACTAGAATATGTTTTACTTTATTTTGTTCTATCTGTGCCAGCAATTATCAGAATTGATATTAAAGCTGTTTGGACATTGTTTGAGGCAGTTTACTTCTAAACAACATATAATTATATGGTTAAAATCATATCAGTTTAAACAGGGGTGGGATCCTACCGGTTTAACAACTGGTTTGCTAAGCGCGCACTTCTGCCACACCGATCAGCTGGGCTTCGGAAACAGAAATAGGTGAGTATAATACAAGGGGCGGGTAGGCAGGCGGGCCCACTTCAAAATTGGAGCGAACCGGTTAGCTTATGGCTGATAGTCGGAACTAAGGTTCGCCCAAACCGGTCTGAACTGGTAGAATCCCACCACTGAGTTTACACTTTCATAACATCCCTATTACATACAGTTTTAATAAACAATTATACATCAAATATATATTTTCACCACCAAGGGGCAGGACAACTTCATGAAATTTTTTTTGAAATGTACTAATTATTAAGAATGGCAACTTACTGGCATTGATTATAGAAACTTGTTTAATGAAGTTTTTCTGCCATCTGCTGGTGAAACTATTGTATATAATTGGGAAAGTCACTTTTAATACTGTAATGAAACTTTTGACAAATACAAGTTTTTCAAAATTGTACAATATAGTTTTGGCATGCTTTGAAAAACATTTACATCAGCTAAATAACAAAAAAATTCTGATCACAGTACAATAAAATTTAGAAAAAGCAATGGCATAATGAAACCTCAGAAAGTTGGGATCGAATTAAGTATTTACTGAATAGAAGTACCATTTTACAATAGTTCAAATGAAAGGGTTTTTTTTTTTTTTATTGAAAAGGTTTTCAAATACAAATTTTTCCCCCTTTTTTCCCCCCCTCCCCCCCTCCCTAACCCCCCCTCCCCACCCTTCCCCCCCGTGACTTCTTCGTAACAAAAAAAACCCCTAATTCATAACAGATTACTTACTCCCTCCTCAAAATACTGACCTTTACTTACTAAAAGTATTATAAATCCCCCTTTATCCATACATTTCAGAAAAGAAGAAGAGAAAAAAAACAAACAACAAAAAAAAAAACAAACACATTATACTATAACTATTATAAAATAACTTCTAATTTAGCATAATAGTGTTTTATATCTATACATTATTGCAACAATTCAAAACCACCTTCCACTTTAAAACTATACGATAAGTCCTACTTTAATAACATTTCAAAGCGGGCTCCCCATAAAATCTAATTTAACATTTATTCCACTCTATCCATTTCCTCCACTCCCCTAAATGTATCACTTAAAAATCCCTTTTCTTAAACTAATCAGTCTGTAGCTAGCTTATTCACCCACTGTCTTACAAATTTACCATACACAACAATTCTTGATATCTTTAATTCACTGCCCACACTACTTAAAAATATATATATATATATATTCCATTATATCTAAATAAAAAAAAGAAAAGACAATAACTTTAAATTTATAGTCCATATAATATCTTCTTGAAGTCTTTCCACTGGATTGTTAAAACCAACATCCATAATAGGGTAACATAGCTTGCTGATGCAACAGTTTATTCAAGATCTCCAATCATATCTGCCCCCATCAGTAGTAAACATCTTCTTATATATATAAAAGTAAAAACAACCACCCGAGTGACATTATAATTATATTCCATATAATAATAATTGTGGGTTTCATCAGGATTATTAATTTCCATCATCGTATTGGGTAACAACCCGATCTTCTGCATGTCCCAATGTGATTCTCTTGCCTTATAATTCAAGATAATTATAATATATTTATCAACACAAAAAGAAGTTTCAAAGTAGATAATTCAAAACCATCAATTTGACGCTCTTTCCATGTCCCAAAATTACGGCAATGCAGAGATCTGCCACTATCCTCAGGATGATATTGACCAATATGTCGCCTCCTCTATGTTTTCACATAATCATTCATATTTTAAAATCACTGGCTTCACTGTTGCTTGGGTTAGAAATGAAAGGGGTTTTTTTGTAAATTCCAGGTTGCAGTTGTTTTAGCCATTTCTTCAAGAATGACAGCAGCATCTGTCCCTGATGTAACTCTTTTTTTCTCTTCGTTTTCATTAGTTTATAATAAATAAAAAAAAAATACAAAAGCAAATAATAGGAAAATAGGAAAGGGAAAAGAGAAGGGGAAAGTGTAGAAAAGAAGGAAAAAATAAAGAAAAGATGCTGACTTCCGACTCTCTTAGGTACAGTAGAATAAGATAATAAT